TCCCTCTGCGTATCATCTTAATTAATATTCACGTGATGAAAGTTGTTTTTTGATTTAAAATTCTGTCTGTGTGTGTGCGGGCTATCAAATACACCTTTTTGTTGTGTTTTTAAACAACTAATCAATGACATATAATATTTCAATGCAGCATAAGTGCGCCTCAAAGTATGCTTTAAATTATGTATGGCCGTTTTTACATAGCAAATCAATCACTCGTACAAAAAGTATTAGTACAAGAAATAATTTTTGGTGGCTGCAATATAGTTCTACGAGAAACTATATTATACTGTCGCGTCTTATGCTGTAATGAATAATGAGTAGGATTATAATGTAGGGCACATACCAAAAAGTGGACATGTAGAGATGATTTAGTGGGAAGATTTGAAATCGCAATTTGGTTGAAAAACGGGGGGAAATCTCCAAAAACCAACATTTGGGTTATACCGTTATATGGGGGCTACCCTAAATAGTGGACCAAAATTAATAATTTTTGGTAAGATTATGCCCATTTGGTCGAATGTGAGACTAATATCATCCACTTTCATAATCAGCATGCTATGTTGGTAAAAGTCAATTTTAATTTTTTATTAAATTTTTAAATTTCAACGACTATTTTTATATTATCACAACTTACTCTTAAGTTTATGAACGGTCACACAATTCTGCACGGAGTACATATCAAGCCGTTGGTTGGTGCTATAACCTTTTAAATATCCTCTGGCACGGCTTGGCACTAGGTTGTGTATCTCAAATTATTTGGAAAAAATCGTACTTATAACTTTTAGATATGGAATTTTTAATGATTATTTTCAAATGTATAACAATCGGCAGTTCCATCTGTGTAATTGGATTTCATTTAGTATTAATATTTTGACGCATGTCAATGTAATGTAACATTTTTCAAATATAAATTATATCAAGGTAGATGTATTAGGTAGTCGCATCGACCCAATTGATTGTAACATTGAATGTCAAAACAAATTGTTGTAATTTTTAATTCGCCTTAAAAAATTAAATCAGAACAAAATGTTTGTATACCCTACACATCTATGTTAAATGTATGGATTGCCTCAAGATTTTCTAGATGCACGACTGGGCTGTAACATGCCCAAGCTACAAGAAATGAGGCTGAACGAAAGGGCTGTGACAAATGGAATATACACTCCACTTTATTATGGAGGGAGTAAAACATTTGAAAATTGACACTATATGGAACTTCTCCACATGAACACGAACTATGAACATGAACTATATATGTATATATATCTGTGTACATACATTCATACAATTGCAGTCTTTAATCTATATCTTTCAGAATATACAATTCAAAGTTAGCGAACTATATATATGGTATATGAACTAAGGATTTGTGACATCTTTGAACTTTATGCGCCTCATAGCGATCGACCCGATATTGGAGTGTGTGTAAATACCACCTCTGTGTACATACATTAATACAATTGCAGTCTGTAATCTTTATCTTTCAGAACATACAATTCAAAGTTAGCGATTTTTCAAAAAAAAAAAAAAAAATATATATATATATATATATATATTTGACGCCCTAAATATTGAACGATTAATATGAAAACTTATATATTAATTCATAGGCCAGATCCCCATCTTCGTAATTTCCTGGGTTTGGGTCATAATTGTGGCCTCTAAACATAAACCGGACACTACCAAAACCAATAGAAGTAGACTTATGCCAGAACCGTATATACATACAAAATTTCCTGAATTCATCAAGGGAATTTATTGAAAGATGCCGACACATACTGAATTGTTTATTCAAAATAGTGCTAGTGTTGTGTTTTCAGAAGATAATTTTTTCAATCACCATTTGATTTGGATCATGATAATCAGATTACAAATTATAATGGGCAGACGGACATATGATATACGATATACAAAAATTTGAGTCTACGAATAGCTACAGCTACAAACTCTTGAGGCAACACATAGTTTTAACATAGATGTGTAGGGTATTAAAACATTTTGTTTTTATTGGTTGAATCAAATTTGCCTAAATTTTGAAATGTCAAGGCGAATTGAATTTTATTTGCCTTGTTTACAAATTTTGACATATTATGTTCCCATTAAAGTTGCTTTGTTGTAGTAATTCGCCGATGCGACTACCTAATATATGTGCCTTGAATTATATTAAAAAAAAAAATATGAAATTTTGACTTTCACCTCATGTCACTGTGACCAAAATGTTATAAAATTTTACTGGTGCCAAACTAAAAGTCTCCGAATTTGAAAAATATAACGTTTTATCGGAAAAATGGACTATTGGGCAAAAAAAAAAAAAAAAGAATGGAATCCTAGCCCATAGCGCGTAGGTTCTTTTTTACGAGATTCAACAATAATTCTGAAGGTGCAATTTATACGAAGCTTTAATTTGATGCAAATAAGGTACAACCACCTAAAACAACCCCAATGGCTGATAAAGTTGCAGTTAAGGCGGATACGGTGTAATATCGACATCGAAAACACCGATGGCAGTGAAGGTTGCTGATAAGGCTTCTCCAACGAAATCGCAGGAATCCTCCACCAACATTTCAGTCCAGGTGAGTTTTCCATTTCTATTCTCCGTCCGTTCGTCTTGTCGTTAAATGCGAAAAAAGTCAACGCATACCAGAAAGATAAATTCCATACCCCTAAAGATTTCCTTTAGTTAGACATAGAGGGGTTAAGCGATGAGTATAGTCCTAAAGGTGGAAGTAGTGGGACTTCATAATTTATCCTAATGGATATGACTCTTGCGAATATCCAAGAGCTGGGATGTTTTAGGTTCATATAAACTGCCTATAATTAAGAACTGTTACAGTCCGTAGAGATAAGGGACGTAAGGATCCAGAAAATGATGAAAATCATTAATTTTGGCCGAGCATCAACTCAGCCCTACTCCTAATTTATGTTAATAGGTTGTGGAGATCTCCCTCCAAGAATTCTAGGCTTTATTTGTGGGCGTCGCAGGCTATGTCACACTCTACGAAGAGTCGGTGAATCGGCCAGATTTTCTGTTTTGAGAGCAGATGTTATAAATCTGGACCACATTAGGATTCTGATCGACTATTCGAGTAAGAATAACTTCAAAATTTTTTAGGGAGAATTAGAATCGACAGTAAAACTTTTGGCAAAGTTAAAAGGGCTGCTCGACTGGAAACTAGGTAGCCTGTCTGTTAATCGATCTTTTAGGGCCACTTTTAAGGGAGAATGGTGAAAAGGCTTAATCCTTGGCCAACCATGTGCAGGGTAGCCAATAGTGGATCGGATGAACGTTTCTCAGATGGCCCACTTAATCGGGTCCTTGTGGAACTTGATTCCTTCCGCAACTTCGTTAATCGATTAGATATTCCGCTCGTTCCAAATAAGATATACAGGTTTTCATTTGATTTTTGGGGTGGGGGAGGTAAGGGAGACTGGGGACCATTCGGCACATTTTATTAGAGCTTTATATCTTAGTACTTATTCAACAGATATAAAAACTTTATGGCTGATTATTGTCCTGTAATACTTAATTATAAAAAGTAGTACCAAAAACATATAATAAATTAATATTAGTTAAACATTTTTTATAGTTTTGTAAAAAAGTCAAATTTGCCTCGGAGTAGCTTCGGCATTTGATGGGGCACATTCGGTAACATAGTCATAGCCTGGTAATTATCACCACTATCAGTCTGGTTGTAATTCAGATCCTCTAAAGGTTCTATTTGGTTTTAATATGCAACTCAAAATTTGTCTTTTAAGGCTACGTCGGACGTTCACGTCTCAAGGCCACACGGATCAACAGAAATAGATTTGTTCTACCGCATTTTCGTCAATACTAGAACGTTTTATCTTATATATGTAATTTCAACCCATATTAAAGAATTATTTTTAAAAACGAACCCAAACAAATTTTAAGGAAATAATATAGCACTATCTGTATATGGCCGAATGTACTTTGGTACTTTTTATAGTATTTTATACCCTTTACTACACTGTGGTACAGGGTATTATGTCTTTGTGCATATGTTTGTAAAAGGAATCGGTTCAGATTTGGATATAGCTCCCATATATATTTTCGTCCGATTTAAGGTAAATGGTGTACCAAAGTCCCTATATATCATTCGATTTGCACAGAATTTGGCATAGCGTAATGAATTAGGTTTGGAATGATGTGTGTTTCCTGAAAATCGATCTAGATTTAGATATAGCTTCGTCCGATTTAATGTAAATGGTGCACCAAAATCCACATACATTTTTCGTACTGAACTTACTATAACCTAGAAGTTTGATATAAATGCTGCACCGAATTCCCCAGGTGGGTCCGATTGGCCCAAAATTTTGCACAAATTATTGAAGTTATTATGATATAGCGTGTGGCAAGTTGAAATCGGTTCAGATTTAGATATAGTTCCTATATATCAGATTTTAGGTAAAAGGTGCACCAAAGACCCAAAGTTATATAGTTTATATAATCTGGCCCCGTCCGACTTTACTACTTTTCTTACTGGTTATAGTCGACAATGTCAAATTTAGTTAACTGTTAACTCTTTAGTTTTCCTAAAAAAATGCATTATTTAAAGTTAATGGTTAAGGGGAGGAGGCCAGTGTGTACTTCTTTCGGTCGGGCATCGGTTCAGACCTTCTGATAATTTAAGTTTAGAGGGTTATAGGTTCTATATTCAATATATGGAGGGGCAACGTGTGGGTGGTAACGCGTATGGGAAGTAAATGGGTCCTCTGTAGCTTTAATTTCAATGTACCTGCAAGTATGTATGTAAGATTTGGAATATGTTTTTAGTATTTATAAAAATGGTCTGAGCTGACCTAAACGCGAAGTGGAGGAATTTTGGACATACATTTTTGTAATTCTGTTAATAGTGCAATAAAAATTAATTAAATTGTCATACAAAATTTATTTAATGAATTAATAAAGCAGCAAATGAGAAAATTAATAATAATTGTTTACAATGACTCAAAATAATTAAAATAATAAATAAATTAGCTTAAGCATATGGACCGTTTCCATCAGATGCTGGTGGTGAAGAATAACTATCCTTAACTTCGGATGCGTTGCTCGATTTAACATTTTGTGCAGCAGCTTTAGTAGGAGTTGCCGCAACTACTGGTGTATTAACAGCGGTGGGTACAATGGATTTGTATGCCAACACAGGAGCGACTACTTCAAGGGCTATGGGTTCACGATTGACAACAGCATTGAATCCGTTCACGCTATCAGCAGTATAGGTGACAGTACGTCTGAAACCATCAGGATCAATCAAACTGTAGACACCGCGAACATTATAACCATCCCTGGTTTCCGAGTGAGATTTAATGTCTCCAGTTGTGGGATCATTGACATCATAGCTGTAGTCATATTTAGCCGGGGGATAATAGGCAGGGAGTGCGGCGGCATCATATCCATAGTTCAAATTGTTATATTGATAGTCGCCAGATGCAGCATATGAATCCTCATTGTAGTAATTATTGTTGTCTTCAGTATTGTTGTTGCTGTAGGAATCTGTTGGGTGGACATCGTTATTTTCTTGTTGTTGTTGATGATGTTCTTGTGGCTGTTGCTGCTGTTGTTGGGGTTGTTGTTGTTGGTTTGATTGATTTTCAAAACCATTGTTGGGTTTTTGGTAATCATAATCACCAGCTGCTACCAAAGTGGCCAAGCATAAAATTGCAACGAACTGAAAGTAGGTGGATACACGTTAAACATATTAAAAGCATACACAATGCCCGACTCAGGACAAATACAAACCTTAAAAGCCATTTCCTTTTTACTTAATTTGTTGGAAGCTCTTCAAAATTATCGATCGAAACCCTGTACTTGTGCTCTATTGAACCTCTTGCTGCACTGTGATAAGTTTGCCGATGGGTGGTGTTTTTATATTCGTCCGATGTCATATCTGAAAAATTTCTTATTCTTCATAAAAAAATCAATTGAAAATTTGCTTTCATTTTCATTAATTGTGGCTTGTTTCGATGACAACAAAGTGGGTTTCATTTACCGTCCATAACTGTTGTTCACAGCCCCGCTGCTGATGATGACTCTTCAATAGTGGCTTTATGGCGAGTAGTAGTCGCTGGAGTTACATAAACATAACTACGCACCGTAGCTAATATAATGATGTCTTCATTCGTCTCAATGCTGTGTAATTGATGTTTAAATTGTAACACTTAATGAGATTCTCCATTGATCGGAAATCATCGATAAGGTCATATCTGCATTAAATTGCAGACTAAAGCATACGTAAATATGATATGGCTAAAAATAGTATATTTTGTCATGAGGTGTATTTTTTACATATGGCTTTTAAGTGTTCAAACACATTGATACGATAAAACATGCGATTCACTGAAATAGAGTACATGGACTTCAAGTGCTTTGGATCAAATACATGTCATATAATTTCAGGCTGGTCTAAATATTACAGAATATATAATTTTTGGAAATTTATTAAAACAATTGCAAACTGGGATAAATCCTGGCATATACAAATTGTTTTACGAATAAACCGGATAAACGTGGAAAATTACGATTTAAACATACGGATATGGATTTCTTGTTATAATAATTGAAGGTCAAATATTGTCGAATTTTGAAGATAGAAAAAAATGTTCCACATTCGATTTTACTGAAGATATATCACATCTTTTTCATCATCAGCAAAAAAATTATTACACCGTACCTCAAAAACTAGTACATTATCGAATTTGTCCTTCTGGAGATGAACCGCCCCCCTAATCACAGTGTAATAATAAAAACAAATCAAAGCATCGTAAAGATCGGCCGGACCGAAAAGCATGACACCCTGCATCGAGAAGATCATATATCGATATATGACCGAATCCGTCATAGACTATACACAACGTATTTACTATATCTTAAACTAAAATTAAAGTTTATTAAAAACAAATTCATATATTTATTTATTCTTTATTTTAATTCAAATGATTTAAAAGCTTATTGTAATGAAAACAATTAAAAAGATTTTAATTCTGTGGATGTTTAAGTCATATGTAAATTGCGAATAGTTCGCGATTTTTAAAAGAATTATGTAATCTTATTTTGCTTCTTTTTTATGGAATTTAAAACAAACGATTATATATATTTTTTTTCAAAAAATGAGTTTTGTTCAATTTATAATTTTAACGGAATCTAAAACTTCTTATAAAGTAACTATGGGTTATTTGCAATTAAAAACTTCAACAGTTGTCTACATTTCATTCAATTTTCTTCATAGTCTAACCATTTCTTGATCGGGGTAAAATTCTAAGACGATCTAGCCATGTCCGTCTGTTGTAATCTTCTGAAGGAATTGAAATAGGGTGCCGAAATTTTGCATACGTTGGTCTGTTGTCTGCAGGCAGTTTAAGTTCGAAGATGGGATATATCGGTCCACCTTTAGGCATAGCTCCCATATAAAAGTACCTCCCAAGTTTCGGTATTTTGGGGTTTTTAAGCTCGTTTTTCAACCGAATATGCTGAAATTTGGTACATTGAGTTCTTATTTGGTACTAAATGTCTCCACAAAAAATTATAAATATAGATCTTCTTTTTCTGGTAGCCCCCATATAACGGTACCTCATAATTTTCAGTATTTTGGGGGTTTTGATCGTATTTTTTCACCGAATTGGCTGCAATTTAGTATTATGAGTTCAAATCTCTCCACAAAAAATTAAAAATATAGGTCCATTTTTTCGGGTAGGCCTCATATAAGGGTATCCCCAAATTTTCGGTATTTTGAGGTTCTTGAGCGCGTTTTTCAGCCGAATTCGCTGCAATTTGGTATTTTGTAGTCGTATATGGTAACAAATCTCCCTACCAGAAATTTTTAATATACGCCCCCTTTTTGGTGTCGTCTCCATATAACCCTCGTTTTTATATTAAACCAGTGAGCGGAGCAGTATAGTCGGGCGGGGCCGACCATGCGATACCCTACACAACTACCACGAACTCTAACTTTCTGAGGATGTTTATTCCGAGTCTGAGTAATATTTCGTTATATTTGCCCCCTCTTGTCCGATTAGAGGTTAACAACACCTCTTCCTTACTTTTTTCGAATATTCAGTACAGTCCTTCTAAATACTTGTCCAGATTACCTTCACGGTGGGTTGTGTTGTGATTTTCGGATTATACTCTACTCGAAAACACACAAAAAATGATGTTTTCGGTCCATTTCATCCCAAAATTTTAATCTGATCATCACCGAAAATTATAGGCGTTGTTCTTGACCATAACTGGAACTTCATGAAAAATTTCAAAGCCATCAGCGCGATATTTCTCCCTCTAATGTGGTAATGGGTTACTGAATAATATCTGAATACGTAAGCACCTGTAAATATTTGACTGTAACTCCCACATCTGAGTAGATACATCACTATATTTGGTATCAATTTAAAGGCCAACCACTCCTCTTGGATGTGCTATCAACTCCTGGGGTCTACATCCTCCAGGAGTAAATATATATGCCATAGAATACAAATTTTGTCATTTTTCACACAAAAGTCAGGGTCCATTTGACCCGCTAAATATTGACCGATCTTTATCAAAACATGCATGCTTATTCTCTGGCCCGATCCCCTTTTCCATGCAAAAATTCGCAGTGTTTGGGCCGTAATTGCGGCCTCTGGAGCGACCAGAAAAACCGACAAAAATTTAGTATTTGGTCCATTTCATCCCCTAAATATTAACCGATCTTTTCCAAAAACAATAGGGGTCTTCATTGGCCAGAACCCATCCTACATGCAAAATTTCGTGAAGATTGGTCCATAACTGTGGCCTGTATCGTGTTTACAAATTATAATGGACAGACGGACGGACGGACGGACGGACGGACACACATGTCTAGATCGACTCAGCTAGTCGAGATATGACGATCGGTATACTTAAAGGTGGGTCTAGGACCAATATTTCGCGGCGTTACAAACATTTGGGGCTGCACAAAGCTATAATACCCTGACAACATAGTTGTGTAGGGTATAAATAGTTATTTGATTTGTTCCGTGTTTGGGTTTGTTTCTAAGATTCTGTTGTAATCATTCATAATCATCATTCATCATCTGCGGAAGATACGAAAAAAAAACTAGAACATAAGGTTCGATAATTAACCTTATATATATATATATATATACTATAACCCGCATTTAGGCCTAGCCCCTGTGTGGGAGGCAACAGAAGGAGTGGACAGATATTCCCCATGTTCGAACTTGAACTAATTTTGGAAGAAATAATAAGATGGGCAAAGTTTGGATGAAATCAAAATTATGGTTCTAAATATTGGTCTAGGAGATTTGGTCTGGGAGATTTGTTACCATATAAGAATACAAAATACCAACTTACAACATGACCTGCCTGCAGACAAAAGACGACCCTATGCTACATTTTTGCGATCTATCTCAATTCGTTTAGAGGCTAGAGTGATTACAACAGACAGACGGACATGGCTATATCGTCATAGAATCAAGAATATATATACTTTATACGGTCGGAAATGTTTATTTCAATGAGTTACAAACGGAAAAACAAAATTAATATACTCTCCATACGACCACAAAAAGGCGGAGAATATTAAAAATTTTTAGTAGGGAGATTTTTTACCATATACGACTGCAAAATACCAAATTGCAGCGAATTCGGTTGAAAAACGCGCTCAATACCGAAAATGGGGGGTACCCCTATATGGGACTATCCGAAAAAATGGGCCTATATTTATAATTTTTTGTGAAGAGATTTGGTACCTATTAGGAACTCAAAATACTAAATTACAGCCAATTCGGTGGTAAAATACGATCAAAACACCCAAAATACTGAAAATAAAGAGGTACCGTTATATGGGGGCTAACAGAAAAAGTAGACCTATATTTATAATTTTTTGTGGAGACATTTGGTGTCTAATAAGAACCCATTGTACCAAATTTCAGCGTTTTCGGTTGAAAAAAAAACGCGCTCTAGAACCCCAACAAACCGAAAATTGGGAGGTACGGTTATATGGAAGCTATGCCTAAAGGTGTACCGATATATTCCATCTTCGAACTTGACCTGCCTTAGAAGTTTACCCTGATCAAGAATATATGTACTTTATAGGGTCGGAAATGAATATTTCGATGAGTTGCAAACGGAATGACAAAATTAATATACCCTCCATACAATGGGGGAGGGTATAAAAATATGGTATATTCCCTTTCGAAATTGGTAGTTTTTGTTTCGTTTCTGACAAAGGTTGTAAAGGTTGTAATCGCTCAAAGATTTACCTATACGCTAGATTAATCTTTTGGGGATTGCCATGGTTAAGTATTATGTATATTTGTAGCAAGTTCGTTATAACCAAATTAAAATGAATGAAAACTGAAATTTGGTACCAAATAAATAGTTCGTTATAAAAAATTTCGATATAAGGGTAAAGATTTGTATGAAAAATGCGTTTAAAAATTTGGAATGTTTTTGAATTGCCTTCTATTTCTATTTACTGAAAAAGATCACACGCACCATGTGTATGTTGTGTCACGCTGTCATGTTATTTTTGCGCAATTGGGACGACGTACAACGTAAGAGATCTCAGGGCTACCACTCCAGTAAGTTTACGGTTTGATAGGTATATTTATCTTTAAAAAATGTGTCGCTTGATTAGCCACCAAGATCGGATAAAGTTTATGCGAACAATAGTAACCAAATCCATAGTGGGTTTTGTCCAAAGCGCACGTTTTGCCCGAAGAAACCCACTGTAAGCTTAAAAAAATATCAAAAACTATCGATAGTCCCATTGTTGA